GCCGTTGCCACACAAATTAGATGTAGTGAGTAGTATCACTGGGGGGTTACATAGTAGGTATATTGTTCAGCATTGTTAGACATATTTATGAAATCTGATGATCTCAAGACTCAAGAGTTGTAGATACAAAATACAAAAAGATTAAAAATACAAAAAAATTATATTTTAATTTCAATTTTGGTTTACAACTCTTGGTCATCAGATTTCATAGTAGGTATATAAAGAAATCCTGCCAAAGGTTTGGCGAAGCAAAGATTCGTATGTATGGTATTGGTATGTGTACGTACGTACCTACGTACAAGGGCTCGTATAAGAAAAGAGCCGTATAGTGTAGGAAAAGGTTCGCAACGGCTACGGTTCGTCAAGGAAAAGGCTCGTATGCCAAGCTTCGTACCGGAAGAGGCCCGTACTCGAAAAAAGCCCGCCCGTACTCGGCATTGTTTTGCGCCCGTAGTTTAAAAACCGTCAGGTCACCAAATTGTAGACGGTCAGAATAGACTGGCCGTTCATGTGTGTGTCGGGGGGACGGTGACTGGCGGTGCGTTATAGTGCCTGGGTGCCAGGTGCGTTCGAAGGACATGGCCTTTGCCTCATGCCTGTTTTTAGAACGCACTACCGCCTCGGCACTACCGAGTACAAAAGCGACGAATGAGAGTGAAGCGGGCACCGTTCCGTGCTTCTATCCTCAGGATACTGAAATCCTTTTCCTCCACGCCGCAACCCCCCTCCGGGCTGGACAGGCAACTTTATCTCATGCGGGCTGCTCCCTTGGAGCGGCACCGCTGCTCCCGAGGGAGCGCACCCCGTAGCCGGGTGCAGTGAGTGCCTAGGGGCTGGGTGGCCTGTCCTCTGGACGGGCTCAGCCCCGGCGACTCACTAGGGTGCCTGCCCAGACCAATGTCTCCCCCTATATCCTATCATCCTTCCGGCTCTGAAATGGTCTTATTGGACCGAAAGGGCCTAACCCAACAAAACAAACAAACAAACAAAAGTGAAGCGGGGTCTTCGGTGCCAGTTCGCTGCTGAGTGCGCTGCTCCGAGGCCCCTCCGACGAATCACCGCTGCTGGCTTGGTCTCAAGGTACGGTCCCTGGGCACTGGGAAGATGCGGGCTCAAAGGTCTTCGTATAGATAGGTTTGGAGCTGGGGAGGCGGATAATTTTATATTGCGAATTGCGTTAGGTTACGATAAGTTAGTTTGCGCGTATTTTGGCGGCTTTATTGATGTGTACTTATTTGACGCAGTCCATTACTAGGTATTTTGGTGTTAACCCGCGCCCCGCTGGGGGGAGGGGGGGGGGGCAGAATCTGCCCCCTCCAGTTTTTCGCCAATAACTTCTAAACGCGTTACGCCAGCGACGTCAACCTTTCAGTACCTTATCATACATCAATTTGACACGTTCCCTGAAAATTTGAGCGAAATCCGTCGGATTTTTTTGTTGTTGAGAAATTGACGTTTTAGTGACGTCATGTTCGCCTAAAAAACGGCAAAATTTCAAACGCCGCTACCATCTTCATTTTTAACCCGCGCATGACTGGGGTATTTTCCATAACGCGAGTGACTGGAGGGGGGGGGGGGGCTCTCCAGAGCCCCCCTCCTATCTCTGAAACTACTGGGCCGATCGTGAACATTCAAACGGCGTCTGATAGCCCTGGAAAAACTGTCGAGCGAAACCTATTTTCATTGACCTCGAGGTCACCGATGACGTCACAGGTCAGGTCAAAGTAAAAATTATCGACATTTTTGCTAGTTCAGAATTTAGGCTCTGACCGCCGAACCGCCGGTCCGATCAGGCTCATTTTTGGTTTACGAACTCCTTGACGGATGCCTTAGATACCCTGAGCGTACCGAACTTTTACTTCGAATTTTCAAGGTCAAGGCCAGGTCATCCTAGGTCACGAAAATTGTACATCATGCATCGGTCAGTGACGCATGTTCTATGGTCCATTTTACTCCTAGATTTCGAAAATAGTGTCGTCTGTGTCATTTGAGGTCATTGTCAGCTGAATTTACCGGAGGTCAGGTCACTTTCAGGTCAGAAAAGGTCAAATTTTGAAAATGAATTTTTTCAACAAAAAAAAAGTGCCTATCAGATGCAGTTTGAGCTCAGAAACACGATGGTGCCATATGTTGCTGTACGACGTCAAAAACGTACTGTAAAATGGATTTGAAAAAAAAACATAAAATTGTAAAATTTTGACAATAATGCGAATAACTTGGCTATTTTTGAAGATATTGGGCTAAAACATGCAAAGGTAGTTCATCAGTGTGTGTTCTATCACATATATTCCGGTTTTTGCGAAAAGTCAAAAACTTTTTGAAAAAAATCAAAAAATATATTTTTTGTTATTGTAAATAAATATTTCTCAAAATTTTCAAAATTTCGAACATTCGAGATAGCAGTTTGATAGCTACGTGTATTTGTAGTTCACTCATGCAAAGAAAATGGATCTAGCTTTTAAAACTGAGCTCTTGAGAGCGTTTGCCGTAATTCAGTATTTTGCATGAAAATCGGCCGACATGACGTCCCTCTGACGTCATTTTCGGCTAAACTATAGTAGCTAGAAAGTTGAAATTTTAACACAAGGTGTCAAATTGATGCCTCTGAGGGTTCGCAAGTTTCGTGTTGATCCGTCAAACGGTTTAGAAAATATTGGTGAAACACGGGAGGGGGCCTCTGTAGAGCCCCCCCCCCCAGTCATACGCGGTTTAAAGGAATCAAGACGTATCAAAAAAGGTTATGCGTGATTCTACCTTTTCTATCAAATGGCCATCTCGGTTTTTTGAAAATTTTGGATTTTCGCCCAAATTTTTTTTTTCTAAAAAAACTGATTTTTGGGAAAATAGTTATAAAATCCAAAATTTTGAGTGTATCGAAAAAACCGGAATATATATCAGAGAAGTGGTCTATGTGCACCTACATACAAATTTTTAGAAGAATCGGTTCAAAAATGTGGGAGTTATTCAAAATTTTATGACGTCACGACACACAAAATTTTTGAAAAGTGATTTTTTTTGGAAGTTCTAGACCTCGTACGGAAACAAAAATAGCACCATTCGATTTGCCGTGAAAAACTGCATCAGACACCTTTTTAGGCCTTAACAACCAACTTCAAAATTTGACCTCACTTGACCTGACGACCTGACCTCGACCTGAAATTCATCCAGAGGTGGTCCATATCACTTATTGAGTGTGGCTATTGAATTCTATGAGTAAAATGACCCATAAAACATGTGTCGCACATGCCTTTTCTATATTTTGTTTTTGGTGACCTGACCTGACCTGACCTTGACCTTGACCTTTGAATGACATTGTATGCAACGAATATTATCTTGGTAATCTAAGGACACGTTTTGGGCAATCAGTCTCAGTCCATTCTTCGGCAACTACGGTGCAAGGCCGATACTGTAGAAACTTGCATTTTGTACCCTTGACCTGACCTTGACCTGACCTCTGACCTACTTGAGCAAAAACAATTGGGCTCTTAAGATCGGCCTTGTTGAGAGCTTTCGGTTGCCGTTTTCCCCGTCTTTCTACGACCATCGGTTCGGAAGTTAGACGGGGGGGGGGGCAGAATCTGCCCCCCAGCAGGGCGCGTATGGCTGAATAGCCCAGCGGGGCGCGGGTTAATACATAGGGGCAAAATCGATGGCTACTTTTCATGGAGCTATGCGAGAAGGAGGAATGAAAGAGCGGAAGCATTTTTATGTCGGTACTTTAGTTTTGCCAGTTAACTTAAAGGGACACTCCCACCTTAACATTAGTTTTGAGTTGAGATAGCCAAATTGGTGGCCATGGCCTGCAAATACCGGTTTGGGCACTCACAACATCGACAAATGCTTTAATTCGGAGATATGGAATTTCAAACTTGCAGTTTTCGGATTCTAAGGGGCTAGTGCATTGGTATGCCCCCTTAGAATTTGTGACGTCAGCGGAGATCTAACGATTTTTAAATCTTTTACTAAAACGTTTGGTAGCACGCGGTGGTATATGCTGCTTTGCGCGCAACAAATGCCGCACTTTCAAATAAAGTCGCTAGGAACAGCGGCGATCCCAAAAAGTAAACAAAAGTAAAAGTCTAATATCTTGAAAACCGGTGAATATTTTTCGATGAAATTTGGTAGATATTCGTTTTCGCTCTTTCTGAACCGAGCGACATCACTTTCGTGCCAATTCATTAACTTTTTTGAAGGTGGGAGGGTCCCTTTAAGTCGGCTAGGTGTTTTGTGCTCATTAGATTAGTATACCCATCGGCACGCTACCCACCGCGTGGCTACCAAATGGCGAGCATTCACCACTGAAGCCTGAACCACTCAAGTAAACGGCCCCACCGTAGATGTACATGTAGAATGACAGTAGCCCGGGTGGCAGACGGGATAACGGCACAAGGAAGACGTCCCAGCCAACCACTTGTCATATGTAGAGTAAAGTAGCTGATAAAGGGGGAGATAGCGACAGATCCACACCACAGGACCGGGCTCGAGTCTCCACCCCTACATTAGAGGGGGGTGTTCAAACACCCCCCGGCCCCCTCCCCCCAGCTGGGCGTGGAAATCCAGGACGCCCAGCGGGATGCGGTTTAAAAGTCCGTTTCTGAGCATTTTGCAGCACGGGAGAGTCTAAAGCAAGATTCTTACAGTCTAAAGTCCAAATGCCCGATTCAATGGTATTTCAATTTGTTTGTAATTTTCTGTTGGAATTAGTACGTCTGCGCTAACGCTTACAACCATGACGCGCGTGCGACGTTTACGAATTATCACTAGCGCACGTGCGCAAAGATCACAACAGTGAACGGGAAATGGAAATAGGTACCTAGTTCATTGGATCAAGTGAATAAAAGTTAGCCGAGATCTTAAAGGCCGAGATAAACAAGTATATAATCAAGGCACCCTTTGAGACACCATTAAATCGTGCACCTTAGGAGTGAAGTCCAAAGGTGCCTGGTGCAGACTGCAAGGGTTACTAAGGGGGACTGTGAACTGTGAAGTCAAGTGGGGTTTGAATGTCAATGTAAGAGCAAAGCTGAAGTATTTTATCCCATTTTGCTAAAGCAAAGGATAAGGTGAGATAGAACACAACCCTGTGAGAAAACATCTAGCCAACTTATTTAGGTAGTGAGATAGCTGGCCTGCTGCAGCGTTTACCTTGTGCAGCTTCGTCATTCAACTAATATTGTCGAATATGGGGCTGCTGCTGGTTGATAACATGTACTGGCAATGAACCAGACTAAAGCATAACAGAGGTAGGGTAATCATGGGTGAAATTCTCAATCCTGCACTGACTGATGTACCCAACATTAACATTTTATTGAAGTCATACTAATCATGGGCACATGAAGAGCTTGATAGAATTTGGTAATTAGATTAGGGAAATTAAGGTGTTTGATAGTTGATACCCATTATCATATCTCTCCACAGGTAACTCAACAGCATTACCATGGGTAAGACAGTGAAGCAGCGCAAGAAGAAGCAGTACATGTACAACGTCAACCGGCGGAAGGTGCAGCAGAAGAGGAAAAAGAAGCTGGAGCCCAGGATCCCCTGCGAGGCTATCCGAGAGGCCTGGGACAGCAGAAAACACACCAAGGCTAACCTCGAGAGCATGGGACTCGCCTTCAAGGTAGGTTACGTGATGAGCAGCAAGAGGATAGCTATGCATTAGGTGTCTGTTTGGGTTTTCTCCAATTTAGTGAGTGAAAAAGAGGAACTCACTTTTGGGAAGTGTTTGTGGAATGCTTCTTTGTTATGGGAGCTTTGTTGGATATGCATCAACTGTTGAGATATTGTAAAACCTAACATGCACTGTAAATTTTGCAGATATCTTACCCATGACAAACAACACAGTTTAACCACTATGTCAGCATTTTGTAGGTACAACCTGCCTTCCTAATGCACAGATTGTAACACTGGTATCGTCTATCTCACAGGTGAACGCGGTACTGCCTGTACCACCCACGGCCTCCTCCGACCAACCCTCCACGGCCCGTCGGCGGCCGGTCACCCGACCCGAGGTCGTCTCCAAACTCGAGGCAGAGGCCAACCGGCCGCGGGAGAGGAAAGTCCGTCTTCCCACCGCTCAGGTCCGCCTCGTGGAACATTTTCTGGACAAATTCGGTGATGATTTTGTCCGCATGGCGCGGTCAGAGAGGAATCACTACCAGTTGACGCCGAAACAGATCAGACGGCTCGTGACGAGGTTTTGGGATATACCCGAACACTATACGCCGTATATGAAGAGGAAAGGCATGTTGGAAAAGCCGACAGTGCCTGAGGGGGATGAGGATTGATGTCAGGGAAGGGGAGGAGGGTTTGTGGGGGGAGGGGGACAGTGATGTTTGGCTAGGGAGGTGAGGTGAGGCGCGTTAGTAGGGTCGTGGAAATGGTGCCACTGACTTGTGGAATGGAGGATGCGTCTAGTTTGATTGGAGGCACCGACCATATTCATCAAATAATTACATAACGTTTGAAAACGATGCATGTGGTCTTTAGTGAGCTTTCCTGCCGCCAAATGCTGTTTGTGAACAATCCGACATCACATTGGACGTAGACCTCTATATGCCTTGGAAAATAAATTCATCATTTATTCTGTTTGGGATCAAATGTCCATTAGAAGCTTGCAAAATAGAACTGAAAGCTCACCTATCTGTGACAGCCATCGTAAAGGGCACGGGACAGCGGTGCTCGGCACGTAAGACTGATCGCTGATCGGTCGGTGTATCGGTAGTGTGCGTGCCGTTTACCGGGACGTGCTAGTGCGACCTGCCAGTTGTCACCAACTCTGTCGTACTTCCATGGTGTTTACATAGTCGTAGTGTGCTACGTGCGCCGCAATACACGTCAACAGATAATAACCTTGCTTCTGGGTCATTATTTTTTGGTACAAGTCCCCACACTTGTTGAGCTTTGTATGTACAATGGTCTGAAACTTGGCGGAAGTATGAGGCAGGAAGGTGAGGGGAAAACTACTAAAGCCTCTTGTACTCATACTTATGGTGCGCTCGTTACGGTCATGGTGCGTTTATGGTGCGAGGCACATTCTACGTGGAATCCGCGGAATATTCCCGGAGTTACCGCGGAGATGCGCCTCCGAACGCGGCATGGGAAATATTACCGGAGAGGGTGAATATTCCATGTTCTTCGAACGCACCACTAGATCCTGCTGCACCGCACGGGTGAGTATTGAAGCATCCAAGAGCGCAGCATCCAAGGGACGCAACATCCAAAACCTTAGCATCCAGCGATCAAAACGTCCAAATAACATCCAAAACCGACCCCTTAGGGATGATTCAGAGCATCCAAGAGCGAAACATCCAAAACTGCAACATCCAGGACCACAGCATCCAAAATCGTATCATCCAAATTGGCAGCAACCAAGGACGAGGAATTGCAGCATCCAAGAGTGAAACATCCAAGGACCAAGGGTGCAGCATCCAAAACCGTATCATCCAAAAAACATTTTTGGCACCGCAGCATCCAAGACCGTATCATCCAAAATAGTGACATCTGTTGTACAAGCTGTAAACTATTAGTTCAATGGCTGTCCGATAGGTGGTGGCACGTACGGTTCATAAGTGACGGAATTGTATGACATCACTGAGTCTCTATACAGTGGCATCCCTATAATGACCTTACATCCTCAAGACGGAGGTGCGTAGCTGCTGGTAGCGACATCGCTGCGATATCACTACAAACCTGACATAGGTATGACATGAAGACGCATTGCAGCGTATCCAAGCGCGGCACGTATGTAGGTAGGCTGAGCCGCTGAAGTGTCGATAATGGAGACCGATACCGAAAGTGGGTTTATTAATTGCCCTTTGTTTTCACACCAGAAGTGCCTAATAAGTCGTGAAGTGTCCACTATCCCCGTAACCAAGCCTCCGCAAGGATCTTCATCTCACCGTCAGATCGCGCTTATCATCGTCAGCTCCTCCCGTTTCTTCACAGTTAACCTTTTTCCTGTCCTATGTGATATATTCCATGTTCCAGAGGGCAAAAAATATAAAAATAGCCGTTTATACCAGGGGTGCGGAGCCGGAGCCGGAGCAGCCGGAGCCGGCATATTTTGCCCAGAACCGGAGCCGGAGCCGTAAAACAATATAGCCCGGAGCCGGAACCGGAGCCGGAGCCGTCAAAAAAGGGAGTGACTCCGGCTCTTTTTTTAAGAAGAAAAAATTATTGACCTAGTTCGGTTTGACAGTACAAGGCCATGTGGTATTCACTATTCAAATTAGCCTTGTTATGCAAATACAGAGGCAACGTGTACCAATCCAATTTCAATCGCCCTTTCTCTTCCACCCGTAGGTATTTAAAATTAATCGCATAGGGGATGTACCTACTGAGAAGGAGCCGGAGCCGCCGGAGCCGGACCATTTTACTCGGAGCCGGAGCCGGAGCCGGACCGTCTGAAATTTCCACGGCTCCGCATCCCTGGTTTATACGAAAAAAGTTTTAGGTAACAGATTTTGACTGAAGGGAGCCACGACATTACTTTTACCAGCAACGTGTTCCCCTCGTCGAGTCGCGTCGAATGAAATTCGGACTTCTAAGGTCATTTGGAAAATTTGACCTCGGGTCAGGGCATGGCCTGACCGGAAAGGGTCATGCTGCATATCAGTTGATCCGTATCGCCGAGTTGAACACATCTGACATGTTTTTACCGCTCTAGCACGTCTGTCGTCTCTTATATCAATTCAAAAGAAATAGTTTAAAAAAACTGCTGGTGACCCTTCATGACCTGAGATAACCTCAGGGTCACACAAAGGGGTAACGGGTGCAATATTCGGGTGTGTCATGTTTTCCAATAAACCGATGTTTGAGAGTGTTTATAGATAGCATGGGCGTCGAAAGCGGGGGGACGGGGGACGCCCCCCCCCCCGCCGGCAGTCGATGAATCCGGGGGGACGTCCCCTCAAAAAAATCGGCCATAAAGGATTTCAAAAGTGACTATTTGCAACGGTCATTCAATATGGAGTCATGTAAACATAAATAAACCATTTTTAAAAGAATACCTACTGATGCTGGTCAGTTCGACGGTACAACTGAGAACTCAGACACTTCAGCGGCTCAGGTCAGGGGCGTAGGCAGGGGGGGGGGCCACTGGGCCATGGCCCCCCCCCCCCTTGGGCGCCGAAGGCGCCCTTTGCGATTGGAGGGCGCCGAAGGCGCCCTCCAATCGCAAATGCAATTATGATATAATCGAATCGAAAAACAATCGCGACTGGAGGGCGCCCTCCAATCGCGAATGTGTTTACAGGGAAAATACGGATGGAGGGCGCCCTCGGAGGACGCCCATTCCAAATACGCCCTCCAAATACGGTTGGAGGGCTCCCTCGGGCGCCCTCCAACCACATTTGTAGGCTGTAGCTCTCTAAGCGTAACGGTGGTCGCCTATGTAAGCCGCTGTCCCGTAAATAAGCGCCCTCTCACCCGAAGGCGCCCTCCTGTAGGTCGCCACCCTGCTACATATTGCCGCCCTTCTGCTGATCGGCGTCCTCATAATTATTGGCGCTCTCCTACCTATTGCGCCCTCATGTGAAATTTTCAAGGCCGCCTTTCTCCTTTTTGGCACCCTATTGTTCAGTGCCGCCCTCCTACCTATTGGTTCCCTAGTCCTTCCTGTTGAATGTTAATCGGGGCCCTTCTCTTATTGGCGCCCTCGTGTTGATCGCCGCCCTCCTAACCACTGGCACCCTCCTGTTGATCACCGCCCTCCTATCCACTGGTACCTTCCTGTTGACCAGCGCCCTCCGCACAGACGCCCTCCTGTTCGTGTCATCCTCTTGAGCAAAGGCGCCCTCCTCACCATTGCCACCCCCATTTTAATCGTCACCCTTCCGCTCATTAACGACTTCCAGTTGATGACCGCCCTCCCACCTATTGGCGACCTCTTGTTGATCGCCACCCTCCTATTGGTGCTCTCCTGTTCCTCGCCACCCTCTTACCTGGTGGCGCCCTCCTGTTGATTGTTGATCGGGGCCCTCCTACCTATTGGTGCCCTCCTGTTGATCGCTGCCCTTCTATCCATTGGCGCCCTCCTGCTGCTCGCCAACTTCCTACCTATCGGTGCCCTACTATCGAAACTCGGGATGTTGATCGGGGCTCTCCTACCTATTAGCGCCCTCCTGTGGATCGCAGCCCTTCTACCTATTGGCAACATCCGTTGATCGCTGCCCTCTTATCATTTATTTACTCCTTTGGCATGTTTTTCAACTTAGTCGTTCTATTGCACATAGTTGATGTCTTGCCTGTGAAAACTGCCACAAATGAACGTGCATTCAGCACAATGAATGAAGTACCTATACCTACCAAAACTATCTACGCTCTACGATGCATAAAACACGTCTTTGGTCTTAACGGATTGATCCTACTTTACGTGCATCATGGCATCTATATGGATTACGATTAAGTATTGTCAACAGGTTCGGCCGCAACAGCAGGCATCTGAAGTTTCGGTGATTGAAACTGGTTATGTGGGTACACTGTATGCATCTGTGAGAAGGCTATGAAGGCTGGTCTGAGGTAATTTGGATGATGTTTACGCATCTCGCGCTCCGGTATCAATCCGATACGGTGATCTGGTGCGTAGATATGCCACCGCCAATAAACTTTTATACATCGACACCCATGAGCCAAGCTTTCTAAACAGTTTGTGTGGCAGCGGCCCGACCAAACCTTTGGTATTTTTTACACCTTCAAATTTGGTAAAAGAGCGAGAGGAGCTTTGAACGGTGATCGTATAAAAGGCGTGCCTAAAAAGCGGAGGAAAAGGTTGTTTTCAAAAATTTCGCGCGCCTTCGGCGCAGCATTTCAAGAACACTTGACCTTTTGTGACCTGGAGTATAAAGAATACACACGATGCAAAATCAATGCAGCACGACCTATACGAGGTTACGCAAAAAAAAAACTGGTGGCATGGTAAAAAACGCCTCCCAACCCCCCCCCCCCACCCCGCTGAGTGATTTTTTATCTCGCGACCGTATGGCGCCCTCCTTGGGTGAGGTGGCGCCCTCCAAACCCTTGGCCCCCCCCTTCGCGATTTTCTAAATACGCCGCTGGCTCAGGTACAGCCCACCGCTAAAGTAATGTAGGGTTTTACCAATCTCAACGGTTGGCTTTGAATGGCGATTGTTTAATGCGGAGTGATCGAAAAGAAGATGTCAATAGCTAAAGTTGCAGCTGCAAGGGTGACGATACATATACCTAAGCTACATTCAAAGTTTCATTGTAGTCTGGCTAATCGTTCCTAAGCTTCATAAGCAGAACATACTCATGACTGAAACCCCACATTACTTCTGCTGTGGACTGTACACCCACCAAAGGCTGAAGTTCGGTCCTCTGGGTGGGGTGACAGCTGCATAAGCCACACATTCGAATATTCACAATACTCAAGCACTTCTAAACGGCCATCCTCCCGTGCTAGGCAAAACGACAGCCGAAGGGGCTCACCAGTTCACCATGACCTTAGAGTACCTGATGCTGGTGTGAGAGGTCAGAGGACCTCGCCACGGTCTGGGATTTTTTATTGGGTTAGGACTTTTCGGTCTGACGAGACCATTTCAGAGCCGGAAGGAGATGGGAATTAGGGGGAGGGCGAGGGGGGACATTTGGTCTGGGCGAGCACCCTGATGAGTCGACGAGGCTGAGCCCGTCCAGAGGGGCAGGCCGACCAATACAATACAATACAACAATACATTTATTTTTCAAGAATAGAAGCAGAACACAGGATGCAAACGCATAATCAGATTGGTGCAAAATAATAAAATTCTTAAATTAAAGCACCTCTCTGCAGAAACGATAGCCAATACTTAACATGAATGCAACATAAACAACGAAATAAAATGACACTTTA